AAGTATGATTTCTGAACTTGGCTTGTTCCAATAAACTAAAGTTTAAACTAGCTGAGAAATCATGAAATGTTAGCAACTAGTTCTGAAATAACTTCATTCTTTATGAACAATTGGTTTTCTGAACTGCTGAGGAAACAGTGAAGCCCTTCTGTTCTTTATTACCTTCTGTCAACAACGACAACAACTTACTTATACCCTACTCATCTGACTGGGTTGACCCAGGCACTCTGGGTAACTTCCAACATAATAAAAACACAGCAAAACCTCAAACATTAAAAAATTTCCCAATATAGGACTGCCTTCAGATGTCTTTGGAAGGTTGTGTAGTTGTTTATTTGTTTGACGTCCGGTGGGAGGTTGTTCCACAGGGCAGGTGCCACTACAGAGAAGACCCTCTGCCTGGTTCCCCGTAACTTCACTTTCCACAGTGAGGGAACCTCCAGAAGGGATTGGAACTGAACCTCAGTGTCTGGGCTGAATAATGGGACTAGAGACTCTCCTTCAGGTATACATTATGTATATTATTGAAACATCTATTTCTGGCAAGAAAAAAAGAGGAAAAACCTGAAATCTGGGGAGGAAAAAATGCAGTAGTGGATTATCTGAGCCTTAAATTTTTACTTAATTTTATGTGAAAATACATCCTGAGTCTTGAACAAAGGGCATTATAAACTCATTGGGGAAGAAAGATTTTACATCCATGGAGCAGAAGCAGGGCAGAAGCAAATATAATTTTAGTGCTGCCAGCCTCAATCAGCCATAAGCAGAGGTCTAGTCTAGTGTCTAGAAAGGCAGATAATTTAAGGAGCCTATGAAACAGATAATTAAAGCAAGGAGAGTGCCACATATCCCCCCCACCCAGCATAATTGGAAATTCTGACCTGGGGGAAATATTCCTTCCATTTTACAATGAACAAATTGCTTTTATAGAATTGTCCAATGACTTCTGCTTCTTTTGAGCTTTAAAAACAAGGCAGTAATTCTAGCACCTGCAAATAGCTTGCTGAATGAGTGGTGCACATGGCTTGCTCCTCCTAGATTCACTTATAAACTCTGAAGATCATAGGTCAGTTTAGGAGTCAACACATTAAGACTGACCCAAGAGTGACACATAAGCACTTTCTCATGTCTTTGAAGTGTAACATGAGAAATGCTTTTCACTAACTGGAGGCTTGCGTTCATCGTCTGATGTTACATTAAAGAATACACCCTCAGTCTTAATACAACTATGCAGTGACAGCCTGGTTCTCCAGCACCATTTCTGCTGAGTGTTGCCTTTGTTGCCACAGTTTTGTATTAATATATTCCCTCCCCCTTCCAAGTAATATTCTATACAGATTTTAATACAATCATCATGGTTCAAATCAATACAGTTTGCACTATGAGAGAAGAGTGAAACTAATTTACAAGCGGACTCCAGCTTCCTACAGGAAGATTGAAAAAGGCATTTTCTGTTCCTGCATACTGTAATTTATTCTGGGGGAGCAAGAACAGTTTAATTCATGCTAGTAGCAAATACTGCTACATGAACATAGTGTTATCAGCAGTATAACAAACAATGCCTGAGCAATGAGGTCAGCTTCTGAGGCACTCAGTATGTCACTGTACTTCTCTGTTGTTGCACGAAGCTTACGGAATGCCCTTCCAGAGAAGGTTTAGCCAAAATAGGGCCACTGAGAAACAAATGGGAGGTCTCTGGATGCTGTAGTGGACTCAGAAAATATGCAGAAATACAAAATGTTTGTTGAACCTCACAAAGGGAATGCTCCTCCCAAAACAGCCCAATGCAGTCTGAGCATGCTTAGTAGCCTCTAGGACAGGCTTCCTCAACCTCGGCCCTCCAGATGTTTTTGGCCTACAACTCCCATGATCCCTAGCTAGCAGGACCAGTGGTCAGGGATGATGGGAATTGTAGTCTCAAAACATCTGGAGAGAACCCAAGTAGAGACTTAATATCACAAAACACACAGCAAAGATAATCCTGGAAATATAGGCTGTAAACCCTTTAAAATGTGCCCGTCCAGTGAGTCCCAAAATATCCATTTTAAAAGCTCTTTCCAAGCTATGGTACATACTAGTTTCAGAATCCATTCTGGTCTTAAACAAAATAAGGCTTTTAAAAACCTTGCTCAGAACTCCTCTCATAGTGAAATCCACATTTTGGGGCGGGGAGAGAGAGAGAGAACAAGGGTTTGGTAATCCAATTCTTCTCAAGCTGAAGGGCGATGACATAGGCTACGCCTGGCAGGACAGTTTATGTTTTTAACCCCTTCATGCATTAATTAGATTAATACATGCTAGAGCTATATGAGGCTTGTACCCTACGAAACCAACACTATAATATGGCTCCATATGGGGTAGATAGAAAAGCATATAGCATTTTAAAGTTTAATATTTTGCTGACAGCAAAATGAAAGCATATCCATTTGTAAGATAATACACATTATTTGTATAGGCGGCTTTAATGCTTTTGTGTCTTATTGTCATAAGGGCAGAGAACACCTTGTGATAACCAGGAAATAAACGGTTACATTGCTAGAGCCAGAAATAAAAAGAAGGAAAACATTCTGAAGCCATTAATTAGGTGACAGGGTTAAATTAAGACCTAATGTTAACAGATGCATCTTTGCTGAGTTTTATTTTCCTATACTAGACTCAAATCCATTTAATATAGGACAGAATATTTGAAAGGGCAAGGAGTTTTGAAATGACTTGAGCTCTATTTAAACGATTGAAATGAGACGATGATAATATACGTAGAACTAAATAATATTAGGGGTGGTATCTGCTAACTTGGTATAATGCAGGAACCCCACCTTCTCTTACTTTTGCTCTCATTTAATATAGCTAAGATGTATAAAATAATTTCTTCTCACATGGAACAGGATTTTTTTAAAAAACATTTCTTATATAATAGTTATTATTAACATTCATCATTCATCCAGAATATTAAATTTGTAAAGTTCCCAAATTCATAACTTTTTCTAAAAATACTGGAGCTTGCATAGGATTTCAACCTTGATTTTTCCCCTAGCAATAAAGTACACTGACCAACTCTCCTTTGTTTGGTCAAAAAACACTGTAAAGCTCAGTATGAAAAATCCAGGGGGTACATAACTTTTTGGAAACATGATCATGACTAGAATAGTTCCCCTATAAAGTCACCCCCCCAAAAAAATCTTGTTTTTGGAAACATGCTTTCTCCCCATTGTGACTTCATCAGTTCAGCACTGAGTTCACTTGATAAAAAAATCTTAATCTCTATTTTTTTCTACCCTACCTTTCTGCACAGTATTTCAAGGTGGCTAATAATTCTATAATAATACAGCTTTTTAATTATATATTACATTACTCAAAGAATAACTCCCAAGCTCTGCCCAGCATTTCAGAGCATTTTGCAATTCAACTGTGTCGGTAAAATAACTCCACACATTGTGGCATGTAATAACCCTCCTGCTGAAGGTAATTTTTCTCAAGGTCATAAATATACTGCCATTCTCTGGTCCAAATACAAAAGTTGCTTATTTCTGTGTGCCACTGGAGGGCAGTGTGGATCTCTAGGAAGAGTAAGGAATTGGAGGCAGCCTGGGTATGAAATAAGATGGGAAGGAAAGAAAAGAAAAGGAAAAAGAAAAGGAAAGGAAAGCACACTCAGAGTCACTGGAACCTATAGTAATCCTGGCCCATTAGGTATGCAGCAGGCGTATCTTTGCTGACATCCAGATTTCAAGTTACAGTTGTGTGAAATAGATGTAATGAGTGCTTTGCCACAAGCTGGGATTTTTGCATGCAGTCAACCCTGAAATGAGCTGAGGAATGACATGCTGAATAGCATCTTACAGTTTTGTCACATTTGAAATCTCATCTGAGAGAAGAAAACAGTCAGCCATGCACTTTAAGGCTGACATGAATCAGCGCTCAGTAACTTGACCAGGGGATGGAAAAAGAGTTTCACTATCTTCTGTGCCTTAGTAGTGTTTTAATCACATCCAAAACAAATATATGTGACAATGCTTCCATGTTTATTGTGGGATCAGTGCTCCTCAGGCATGGAAGTTTCACGCACCATTGTTGTTGGCATCAAAAAATACATTTTAAAAATCCACATTTCATATGTATTTACCCTTTCTACAGAAAACCCCATTGCTGCTGTTGTTTTTAATCTGTTGCCAATAACTCACCAGAATTATTAAGTCTCTGTCTGGAATACAAGTGGGGAACCTTTCACCTTCCCAATGTTGCTTAATGGCAACTCCCATCAGCCCCAGCAAGCCTGCCAGTAGCCAGGGATGGAGTTGGTAGTTCAGCAACATCTGAATGGCCATAGGTTCACCACACATGGTAGTCTAGAAGCACCTTCTATTTTGAAGGGATCTCCTAGGGACATATTGAGAATGTTACTATTTTTTTTGTTTGGCTAGGTTCTCAAGGATTTTTAGCCTCTTTATAGCACCTAGTGAGAATAAAGGGAGATAATCTATAATTCATAGGCTACGTGACTCTTGCGTTTAATTTTTGTACAGTACTTGGAAATTCGTATTTGAATATTTTAAAAGACGTGATTATGGCCATGTGCATACACTTTCCTGATAAAAAAATAGACATGCACAACACATTCTCATGTTGTTTTTATGTGTATGTCCGTAATAGGAACCTGCTTCATAATACAACAGTATTAACAAAATATTTAATTATAATGGATTCAGACTTAGCCCCTGCTCCCCTCAGCAATATGAAGAACTGCTATTGTTCATCATATTATCAACAGGCAGCAATGTTCCTGCCAGATTTTGCAAGGATACAAGTAACCTTTTACCAAGTGGTAAATTGGCATTTGTGAAAGAACCCATAATGATCTTCACAGTTTATTCCGACCAGCTCTTAAACAGAGCACAAATTCCTCACTAAATCTCTTCCACCACCTGCCTTGTCTGTTTATAGCTTACTAACCCCTTGTGTCATCTCTTTGTATATATGTCTAATTTATCAGTTTCTTGTAGATTGTCAGCAGCCTGCTGCCTCCATACCGCCACACGGCTCACAACTAGCCAGGAGGCAAGACTGCCAGACTGTCAGGTAATACTTGGCTAACTCTTCTCTCTTCTCCTCTTGCTCTTCACTGCATGCTGTGGTCAGTCTGTCACGGACAACAGCCAAGCTTCCCACCCCACTTCTTTTCTATGCAGCTGTCACTCCTCACCCCACCTCCATTCCATCCTTCCATTTCTTAGTTTCTACATGGCTTGTGTTTTTTTTAAAAAGAAAAGAAAAATCAAATATATATTTGATTTTTTGCATTAGTATGTGTGAATACCAACTGAGAGTCTAGCTAAAGCCTAGCAGAGGAAAGCAAGAAGACTGCTGTTGTGGTCTGCAGCAAGGACAATGTGTTTTAGGACAAATTATCAGCATCTTTGAAATGTCCCTCAAAGCAGAACAATTCAGGGATGTCTCATGCACTCAGTTACACTAAAAGCTCTTGATTAACATCACCATTCATTTCATAAGCAACCTTTCAGAGAGAGTCTGGGCTTGTTACTGAGTAACAGTTAATGACAAAAACATGGAAGGAGAAGTTCCTGAGACAGGCTGACTTAATTTTATTAAATGACAACTCCGCCATAAGGCATTTTTTGGCCACTCAGCAAAGTTCTGTTTCTTTACTGAGAAAAGGGTGTTTGTTACAATCTAAAATCTTTGAGAAATAGATTATTTTTATTTTGTTAACACAGTCCATGAATAATGTGCTGCTGCCTTGCTATGATGGGATAGGGTTTGGATTTCTTATGAATTGCAAATAATTAATTAAAGCTGGGTGTGTATGTTTTCTCATTGGGAGCCATTTCAGTCATAATGGGAGATTACTGGCCAAATTAAAGGTGCTGTTTTGCAGTTGCCTGGCCTCCCACAAGACCTCTTTTCAGTGGTTACAATTTAAGACCCACAACTTCTGAAATGTTCAGAAAATAATGTAACTTGATTTCACTTTTCTCATCAAGTAAAATTGTGTAACCTGCAAAGACAGCCTTGTGCCCTTCTCTGGAACCACCAACAAAAACTAACATCACAGGCTTCAGTCAGTTGGGAAATGGATGTAGTGAAATTAAGAAAAATGGATGCACTCTTATAAAAACACTAGAACTGCCACTAGAAAGATTAGCTAATTCATTTTTTAGTGTTAATTGGTTCACTGAATCTACAATCCATAGTTGGTTGGCTCAGAGTAAGATCTCCATCCATGATCTGATTGTGGAGGCCAGTTTGGTCTGTTTTACTGAAACCTGGATGGATGACCAGGGGGGAGTTGGTCTCACCCAGCTGTGCCCACCTAGGTACTCAGTGCAGCATCAAGGCAGACCTGAGGATCAGGGAGAGGGAGTTGCTGTGGTCTATAGAAATTCTTTTTCTCTCTAGGCTCTCTGTCCAGCCTCACTGCCCAGCAGTCTCCCTGCCTGAGCTGACAGAGCTGGACTCAGAGGCAGTGTTGAGGACTCCCAGACTGCTGGTTTGGGGGGACTTCATCATCCATGCTGAGGTGACTGGCTCTGGGGTGGCTCAGGACTTCATGACTGCCATGATGACCATGGGGCTGTCCCAGCATGTCATCGGCCCAACGCACGAGGCAGGCCACACTCTGAACCTTGTTTTCACAACTGGACAGGAAGAGGGTGATCAGAAAGTAGAGAATATTTACATCAATCTCTTGTCATAATCAGATCACTTGCTGTTGAGATTTATGATTTTAGCACCTTCTTCCCACTGCTGAAGCGGGGGACCTATAAGGATGGTCTGCCGCTGGAGGCTGATGGATTCAATGGGCTTCCAGGTGGCTCTGGGGAGTTTTCTGGCTGCTCTGACTGTCACTCCTGTTGAAGCCCTGACCGACCTCTGGAACATCCAAGTGGCTAGGGCCATTGATACAATCGCCCCTGAATGACCTCTCCCACTTTGCTGAGCCTGCTTGGCTCCTTGGTATACTCCAGAGCTTAGGGCGAGGAAACAAGCTGGGAGATGGTCTGAACATATGAGTGGAGAAAAACTCCAGTCAAATGCAATGCTGAGGGCTCATCATTAAGCCTTCCTCGTGGCAGTAAAAACAGCATAGAAGTCATGCATTGCACCTTTGTGTTGTCCAGCAGAGCTTTTCTGGGGGGGGGGTGTTTATGGGGTCTTTTACATTCTGGCCCCAAAGAGGTGACAGAATGAACAGTAACTTGCTGTGACTTGTTTGTAAAGCATTTGGAGGATAAAATTGCTTGTTCCTACTGGGACATTAACTTCACCTCTTTAGAGGTGTCCAGAGCCCTGTCTAGTCCTGTTACGTTGGAGCAGTTTCAGTTGGGAAGGCTCCCTGTTTGTGAAATACTCTCCCCAGGGAAGCTTGCCTGACACCTTCCATTACATACCGTTAGGTGCCAGGACAAAAATATTATTTTTCTTCCAGGCCTTTGGCTAATTAAACAATCTATGGCCTTTTAAACTGGGGGGGAGGGGGCAGTTATTGTTTTTGTTTGGTACTATGTTATGTATTTCTGTGTTTTTATATTGTAAGCTATCCTGTGAGCCTTGTATGAAGAGCGGTATATAAATGTAATAAATAATAATAGTAATACTCTGACGTTTAAAACTTAAGATAATGTGTTTTCAGGATCCATCCTGTGGCTGCAATTTATCTTAACTGCTTTTAATGTTGAATTTTAAATTGTTGTAACCCACCTGGCACCTGCTGGTAACAGATGATGATGTTGATGATAATCGGCATAGCAAGAGTGCACAGAGACTTGGTGATGTATTAATCATTTCCCCCCTTTTTTATTTTCAGTCCTGATGTAGCTCTTCCAGAAGAACAGCCACATTCCAGCTCTCAGTGTGCTCCCATCAGCTGTCTACCTAAGCCTCCTCCTTAAGCCTAATCTTCATATGCAACCTAAGAGTCGGGGGGCGGGGAAGCCCCCACAAAGAAACTGAGTCGGGGTTCTCACAGCAAAGGTACAGTTTGCGCCGAAGGAACCATTAGGCATTGCTGCCTTTTTGCTGCATTGATGAGTCCGGACACATATCTATGGTCTTAAATCAACTGAGGATGTATGGAAGAGCACAAAGTACAGTGCCCGAACTGTTCAAGAAGATCATTTAAGGTTCCTCTGGTTACATCCAGATAATCACGGCTACAGTTTGGATGTCAAAATACGTTTGTCCCAGCCATTTGGCTTGTACTGCTAATATGCTGGGAAGTTAAAACTACTGAAACAAAACAAAGAAAATGTGTTACAAAACCTGATTTTGACAGTTGAGCCACAGCCACAACTCTAGTTTTTCTTTATGTGGATTAAAGGGTGTTCAATATCTTTGTTTTCATTTTATCATATTTGCACCATGAGTTTATTAGAAATACAGTCCATGCCGTGTGAATGTTTTTCTTCTGGGTTGTTTTTGGTTTTTTTAAGTGACGCAGAAATAGTTTACCTAGGGAATGATTCCCCCGTTAGGGTTTTTGTTTTGTAACTGAGGATTATTCACTTGGCCAAAGTGTGTGGCCTGGTGTTCTCTTTTTCTTAATTGCACAAAAAATGTTGAAAGTGTGTTGAACTGGAATGTGAACTTTGGGGGCATTGCAGAAAAAGCTGGATGTGCCTAAATCCCGTTGAAATAAATAGGCACACGGTGAAGCACTTGAAACCCACCAACATCAACAGAATTCAGGCATGTCTAACTTTTCCTGCATTGTGCCCATTGACTTGTACTTTTCTGCTGCACTGGTATTGTTTACGCACTTATTTTATAACTAATATGATATTAGCTGCTGGTTGTTGTTTTAATACTTCACTAGGATCTGATTAAGCCGAAAATGGGTTTTAGTGAACAGTGCATTTAATAATTGTTTCCCTGTGGTTAACTTTTGTGTTTTGGGGAGGTGCTTGTTTTTGTTTTAGGGACTTCCCTCCCTCCTTTTTTGCATTTCAGATAAGCTGATGACTTGGTGCTGCTCATTTTTCTGTTTGGTATCTGGACAAAAAAAAACAACAGGAAATGAACTTGAAGTAAACATGCTGTGTTATATTATAACTGTAATGTTCAGGATGTTCTTCACTTGCTGCTCCCAAGTTCAGTGTTTAACTAGGTTAAAGCCTTCCCTTGGCAAAAGAAAGTCAAGGAAAAAAGAAGAGGTAACTAAATGTAACAAAAAATAGTACATTTCCAGCTGCACTGGGTGGTGAATTCAGCTGTGCAGGTGGGATTGATGTCTTGGACTGAAGATAATTGTTTTAAATTATTGCTCTAGTGCATTTTTTTTCCTTGCCAAAACCCCCAGCTACTATAAAGATCTATCTCATGTCAGTTTGATGACAAATACTCAGGTGACACACAGGAAGCAGATTCTGTTCCTGCACTGCACAGCGTTCCCACTCTTAAGAATCTCTCCTTCAACAAATGTTTTGAGGAGCAGTGAGTATAGAAGAAAACCAAGAATATTCAGATTTATTTTGCACATTGCCTGGGAGCGAGTCAGACTGCTGACTAGGCTTAGAGACATCACTTTTATCCGTCTGTTGCATTCCCCAGATACAATTCTACCCATCTGTGCTAATTAGCAGAATTCTTGCTCTCAAACAGGTAGCCTTAATACATTTGAAATAAGGCCTGGGCAGATTCACGTCTCTTTGTCTTTCCTACTTGTGCAGTGTTCATATGATCCACAAGGCAGAAATGTGAAGATGTCCTGAACCATGCAGCAGCCTTGACATAAATCAAAGGCAGCTGGGATAATTTGGCCTAGGCCATCTGAATTTGAGAGAAAGAAAATGATACATTCATTACCAAAAAGAAAAATAAAGGGAGGACTTTAAGCCAAGGATAGTCTAGATGGCCAATCATTGTGCCTAACAATCATTACAAAACCAGTAACCAAGGTGCTAAAAAACAGGAATAGTCCTAAACAGCAATTCCTGTAATAGAATCACAACAGAACAGCTGAGCTTTTGTAATGGATTAGAAATTCAGAGTCAGAGGTAAAAAGTAATTTAGCAGTGGAATCTACAAGCCACTTGAAAGCAACATATTTTGATCCTTAAGGGCAAATATGTGGTACTGTGGGGACTTAATTAAACAGCAATGCATTGGCTTTAAATGGCTTGTGACTGATAGTCAAACTTGTATGTAAGTCTGCTGTTAGAAACCTAACAGTGCTTTGTACTCATTTATCCTTTTTGTTTCCATGTTCCTTATCTTGTGATATGTTTAACATTTTAATGCTGTATCTTATCCTCATATTCTTATGTAACAAGTGAATGTCTTCAATTCTTTCATGTAAACAGCATCTAGGGCTGCCACCTCTAGCTTTAGATGGGGTTCTTTCATCAAATAAAATTTAAAAACCTAATAAGTGGGGTGAAGGGAAACAAGGAGCCTTGTGACAACTTAAGAGACCCAACACATTTATTTCGGTGAAAGCTTACACCAAATGTTGCACCACAATGAACGTGCTTGCCTTTAAGGTTCTATGCGACTTTCTGTTGTTTTGCTGCAACATGCACTTAACACAGCTAACCTTCTTAAAGCTATTGCACAGGGGTTTGTGATTAAACTAAGTACCTACTAGTCTACTGACACGGGAATCCCGTTGAGGGGTAGAGGTGGCAACCTTGTTGGCATAATGTTGGCAAACACTGAAATGAGCCCTTACGTGGAGTTTGTTTTGTTTTTCAATTGGGTATGATCTACTCTAAATTATGCATGATGATTTCAGACAGAAAGAGAGAGCTAAGCACATGCTTAAATCTCATTCACTGAAATCGATATGCCTTAAAAATGCTTAAAATTGGTTGGAACATGCTCTTTATATCTAATTGATTTTATTAAGGATATGTTTCAGCTAGGCCAATGTACCCCTCAGAATACTGGGTCTTGTTCAGATATGAAAACATGAGCGTTGCTGCTTAAGCAGCACTACTGCAACTGCCTCTTATTCTTACCAAATATCTTTTAGAACTACGAAGATATTATTATTATTAAAATTATTCCAATGAAGTACATTAATGGCTGCAATCCTATGCATACTTACCAGGAAATAAAACCTACTGAACAAAGTGAGACTTGAAAGTAAAAAATGCATAGGATTGCACTGTTAAGCTTCTGCCCTAAGCACATTTGCTCTGACCTAAGTTCCACTGAACTCCAGGGAACATACTTCCAAGTAATTGTGTTGAGAATTTCAGTTTTTCTTTCTAATATATATTGCAGTTGGGGGTAGGGAGGTTATTCTTTTGAAATGTTTATTTCCAGAGCATTCAAAGTACTGAAAATTATAATTTTGGGTCGCATCGAAAGAATAAAAAATTGAATGCAAACATAATAGAGCTCCAATGCAGAGATGGTCATGAGTACCCCGCAAAGCGATGAAGTTACACGTTCCTATCTATATCAGAAGATGAGAATGCACTTGTTCACCCACACTGTGCAGATGCAAATGAGAGGTGGGGGATTTGCTATGGATTTGCACCCACCTCCATACATGTACCCTGTTTTATCTGGACATGAAAATATCCAGTGCTGACCTTCATTCATGGAAGGCAAATATATAGACCTGCACTTTCTTCCCTGTGTGCTGTGCAGGTTAGTATGCACCACACGTTTCTGGATGTAGGAAGGCTGCTGCATTATGCCTGCAGTAATGGCTGGGTCATAATTATGTCAAGATTAATTACTAGAAACTCAAGGTCTGAGTGCAAAAATGGTAGAATACCTACCAATAGTTCTCAGAAGGCCCCCTCAAAGCTATATATAACCCAAAGGGTATGGTTTAGTCCCGAGAACCTACAAGTCTACGAGTGGAGTGGTTTCAAAACAAGTCAACACTTTGCTAACAAAACTTGCTTACCTGGATATTACTGGTATTAGTAACATTGGACCTTAAACTTAACTATGGCAGAGGAGTGGGACAAAAAATAACTATTGAGTAATCCTGTACTACTGAAGCCAGAAAGGGTTCAACCTGATATCTAATTCAATGAGATTACAAATGATCCCTTTCTTGGTTGATTCTTTTCATCTGGTGACTGTTTGACTTTAAATTATGTTATTTCCTTTGTTTATAAAGGTGTCCTTTATTTCAAAATTCCAGGTACTGAGGTACATTAGAATCCAGGTACATTAGAAGCACAGCCATTTCCTTATTTATTTCTTGCTTTAAAAATAGCCTTTTTTCTTCCTTCAAGGTTTCTTTCAGTTGTTCATTTCTATACCTAAAAGGGACATATAGTAATCAGAGTTTTTATTCCATATATTTAATTTTTTTGGTTCATATTCTGCATAAAAGAAAAAAAAAGAAAAGCAATTAATTGCATTCAGCCTTAAGGCAGAAATGCATCTAAATATGCAATATATTTAAAAGCTTGCATGATGTGATTTCATGTACCCTTTCCCATAACCCTGATAATGAAGCTGAATAATTCTTATTTCATGAGATAGTCTTTCCCGCTTACTGCATATTGGAAATGCACGTCCAATATAACTTTCATCAAGAGACGCACGGCTTAAATCCTCATTGCATTTTAATCTCTCTCCCGCAGAGCTCTTGATAATCCCCTCTATTAAATCTGAAGGTAACAAAGTGATAAATTGACAAGACACAAAGGAAAAAATATGTTGCTGCGAGTGGAGATAATTTGCTGTCAGACTCTGGAGGGATGGGGGCCTTGTGTTTCAATTAGTGTCTTGATATGAAGGTACATGTGCTGCTCATTATTATTATGCACTGATTGTTTTGATTTTTTGCAGCATAAACAGATTTTGTTTTTATTGCAACTTTGACTTTATTATTATATCTGTTTTGGAGATTTGTCAGAAGTGTTTGGTACAAATGTTAGGTGAACAATCTTGCTAACCAGCTCTGGAGGGTGGGGGGTGGGGAGAGAAAGAAGAGTAATCTAGCTTTGAAAACTTATTTCTTCAGGGGTATGGCTTTGTGCACCATATCTTTGAATAGACCTAAGTACACCTCACTAGTTATAGACCTAGTGCTTCAAACCCTGTGGTTTGACTGTTAAAGGGTTGATTAAATCAATCCTTTATAAGTAAAGAGAGAGAGAGAACCTTAAAATCCTGATGTTTTGTGATTTTGTAATCTATGAATGTTCCCCTTTGCATGAATATCCTTATCTAATTAACTACACGAAAGGACATACTGTGTTATACTGTATTCCAAATGGTTTTAAATAATGGTGCAGTTTGCATTAAAATACAATTTGTATACTGCTGTAAAAGTCGGCTGTTCCTAAACTAAATTGAAATTCTGTTGTAAAGCCTTTTTGAGGTTGAATGGAGTATTTCTAGATGGTGGAGGATACAGATAGATGTGCTAATTGACTTAAAGGTTGAATGTCAGAAACTTTTATTGTGTTGCAATTCTGATTTTAAGACAAGAATATTGACCAATTCTGGATTCCAAAACAACTCGTTTTGAAGGCTTTGAATTATTGCCATGTCAAACTCTCTCCCATCCCAGTCTTGAAACTGTAGACAATCCTAGAAACATTGCTTCGTGAGGGAATCATGTGCTTGTACATGTGTGGTATTATCATGCGGGTTGAATGGTTGGGAAAATAAGACGCTCCAGAACTGAAGAAACTAAATTAGAAGCTAATATACTGATTCTTATATCATTATGTTCCAATTAAAATTATGGTGTAATGCATAACTATCCCAGTAAATAAACTGGCCATTTTTTGTTCCTTGAACTTTGTGCTGTATCTGTATTCTTTAGTATGTCACTGTGTGTTGCTGTGGTCTGTGTGTGCCCACACCTCCAATTCTCTGAAGAAAGGAAGGAAACAGGACGCTGCAAAATCATCAGATGGCAGAATTATCCAGGATATCAAATTTTGCCTCACCCTGGTGAGAGAGCAGCAAACCTTTTTAGATTTCTCTCTTGTGTGACAGTTATTAAAGTTTCAGGCAATAAAACCACACAGCACACTGAATTATTGTATGCATCTTAGAATGCCTGGTTTTTTTAAAAAAGTATTGATTTGGTGCCTGAAATTTGTAAAGTAGGCAAAAGGCACACCTCTTTATTGGTGGTGCCAGGACACTACCAGTGAAAAAGCACTTGGAAGGCTTTTGGAAGAGGACCTTGACATAAGACCACAGGGAAGAGGCACTCCTTCTGACATCTGGATCCCAAGCCATTTAGATACTTTAAGGTAAGTACCAGCACCTTGAAATCGCTCTGGAAATGAATACATAGCGATTTTTGTGTGTAATATGAATAAACCTGGCTGTTGTAGTTGAATTGTGGCAGATAAATTCTTCAATAATTGGAGTTACTAAGTTGTATTCAAGGGCAGCCTCATGTACAATGCCTGACAGTAATCCAGCTGGGAGGTTACTGGAGCATAGATCCATCCCTTGAGATAACTTAAGCATATTAAAGGACAAAAACCCTGGCCTGAAAATAGGCACTCCTACTCTGTTCCATAGCTGTCTGTACCCATGGACTGGTGATGTGCAGTGGAAGACCTTCAGCTCTTCAGGCTCAGGAGAAGGTGCCCTGAGGGTTTGGCCCTATAGGCCAGGGGTCAGCAAGGTTTATCTTGCCTGGGCCAGAGTGGTCCCGTGAAGATATCTCCATGGGCCGGATCGTGTGTGTGCCCCCAATTTTCAGCGTCTGCGCAGACATGATTTTCGGTGTCGTGGAAGCGAGTCCCTGCACCACGCCGGTTTAGCACTGCACGCAATGCGGCTTGTGGGCCACGAACTCTGTGGGCCGCTTCTGGCCCATGGGCCTTAGGTTGCTGACTCCTGCTATTGGCCCTGGTGATCTGGGAAGTTCATCTGGGGACTTCTGTCTAACAGCGTCAGGTGCAATGGTATTCCTGTATTCAGATTCAGGGCATGGAGCTGGCTGCTGAATATAGGGATACCAACAGATGCCCCTGCAGCCTCCAACTCAGTGCCCCACTCACTGCTAGATTCAGGGGTCCCAATAATTCCTGTGATGGGGATCAGAGCTATGCATGCCACTGGCCTGTCATGCAGTCTCAGGTGCACTGGGAAACACTATCATGCTGCCAATGTTCAAGTAAAATCCAGTCAGCTTCTGTACTTTAAATTGAAGATGGGGAGTAAGATCTTGTCCTTTGCCTCAGGAAGCAAGGGCTGCCTGTTCAAAACATTTTCAAAAAAAATAATCAAAATTCAGCATCAAGGTAACTAAAATTGTGTATAATGCCCCCCCCCACGTACAACAATCTGACATATGAAATATATATAAATTATGCATATTAAGCACTTTCCTAAATTGCAGTCCTGCTCTGCTAGGCACAGGAGATCTAAGCAGCAGGAGAACGCTGAAACATAACCCTCTGGAAATCCTGCTTAGTCACCATTCTGGCTTCTGAAATGTCACCTGTCAGAGTGCAGAGGCTAGGGCATACTCTCTGAACAGCTACCAACCCTGGGATGGTGAAATCAGTAAGAACTGTTCTCTTCATTGCTTAGATCACCTTGAGGAAGCCTGGCCCAGTCTTTATAACAGGGGTGAGGGAGTGTCAGCTGACCTGCTGTGGTCCTCTGTTGGTTATCTACTGTGCCTGACTTATCTGTAGCTTCCTCACTTTGGGCAGGAACAGGTGGTGTTGCACACACTTATAATCTGTGCTTCGCGTCCTGCTGTGACCCTGACACCAGCACTCAAAGTGCTGCTTTCTGGCCAATGTTGCAACAGAGACCTAGGCATGAAGGTCACAGCTTTGCAAATAATTTCTGAATTGTTTTGGGGCTAGCTACCTGCTTATATCCCAGTTGGCCATTGTGAGACCAGGAGGCTGGACTAGAGGGGCCCGAAAAATAGAAACCACCTATTACTTATTTCACATTTCTAACCAGCCCTTCATACCCAAAGGGGGAGCCAAGGGAAGTCACAAGAATAGAATAAGCAATTAAAAACAGCAGAAGAGACCTTCTGGGTCAGACCAAAGGCCCATCTAGTCCAGCATCATGTTCTCACAGTGGCCAAATAGATGCCTGCAGCGAGAACTTGAGCATAGCTGTCAACTTTCAGATTTGAAAATAAGGGATCAGCAGCCTCACCTGTCCCACAGACAGTCTATGGCATATCTAACAATCCAGGATAGCAGTGGGAAACAGCACTGGAATAAGGGAATTTCCCGCCAAAAAAGGGAAGGTTGACAGCTATGAACTTGAGTGCAACAGCAACTGTCCCCACCTGCAGTTCTCAGCAACTCTTATTCAGAGGCATATTTGCCTAGACGGTGGAGGAATAGGTATTGCAGGGTATTGCAAACAGCAGTAAAAACCAGCAGTAAAACCACAAACTTGAAGAATAATAATAAACAGAAGATTGGAAATGGCTTCATTATTTCCACCATTGCCTTGGACTAAAAAGTGGGCCGAAATGGGAACGAAAGGACAGAGAAGCACGGTGCAATGTCTGGCTGTTAATCAGAAGGTAAGGAGGTTAGTTGTGGGCCGGAGTCCTGCGCTGCAGTGGGTTGGACTAGGCATCTATATTCTCGATTCTATAATATCAAGTGGAAAGCATCATATTAAGTAGACGCCCCCGTCCCAGGCACTCGCGGGAGTCAATCCAACGGAGCTCAGCCGGGATTTACCGCAGAGTAAACCGAGTCGAGCTGCAACAACCCTGACATAAGAGCCCGCTTAAAAAAGCCCGCGTGAAATCCGCCCGCGGCCGACAGGCTCTCAGGGGCTGCAACTCGAGCAGAACTTTCGTAACAGCAGCGCGCGGCTGCCCCGCCTGAGGAGGAAGGGCGGGCTCTCCTCCCCTGTCTCACCTGGCAGGTGAAGGAGCTCAGAGCCGAGAGTGCGCGCGCCTGCGGCGGAGGCAAGCCTACGCCGGCCAGGCGCGCGCTTTTGGCGCCCGGCCAGATTTGAGCGGGAATTTCGAGGCGGCCGCAAATCTCTGCGCGCCTCTCTTTCCTCCTCCTCGCGGGCGGCGTCTGGCGACACCAGGCGGGGCAAAGAGGCAGGCGGTGGTTTTCTCCGCCTCCCTATCTCCCGACGCCCCTTCCCGCTTTGTAAAGCGCCCCACAGAGCAGCCGGAGGAGCAAGTGGCAGCAGCCGCCGACCTCCCTCTGCCTGTAGGGGGCGTGGGAAATGGCCGTGGCCATTCCTGTCAGGGGCTGAGGAAGGGCGGCTTTCTGCCCGCTGCCTGGCGTCTGGTCTCTCTCTGCCCCCTTTCCTCACTTGCGCAGCCGGCGGCGAGAGGGGAAGATGGAGGCGCCCGAGAGCATGGGCTTCAGGCGGGTGGCCATCCGGAGGAAATCCAGCCCCAGCCTCAGCAGCAGCGCCTTGGTCTTCTCCCAGGCCGCCGCCGCCGCCGCCACTTCGCCTCTTTCCCACCCAGAGAGGAGGAGAGACGTTGCCAGGGAAGCGGCGCCAACAGCGGCAGCAGCAGGTACAACTCGGGCTTCACCTTTGGGCTCTGAGCCGGGACCTCCCTTCCCTTCCCTCTCCTTTCCTTCCTGCGGTTTGTTGGCCGTCCTGGCGTGGCCCGTCGCGCCCAGCAGCTTCGGGTCTAAGGTCGCGCCGAGGGAAAAGTAAAGTGCAGCGGGAGTTGGAAAGGCGTACTCTGCAAAACTGCAGCTGGGCTGTCTCTCCCCCCCCCCACACACACCGGGGGAGACCCTGCGGCCAAACTTCCAGAAGTTGCTGTGGGGTAGCTCTCTCGCAGCAAAATCGACGGTAGTATTGTACTGTTGCAAATATACATGCACTCATAGATCAACATAAAGTTTAGACTTCAATATGTTGTAAGGTGTGGTGTCCCTGGCCAGAGGCAGAAATGCTTCTGAGTAATAGTCGTTGGAAAATGCAAGAGGGAAGAGATCTCTCTTGCAGGCTTCCCACAGGCATCTGGTCGGCCACTGTGAGAACAGGATGCTGGAGTAGACAAGACCATTGGTCTGATCCAGCAGGCTCTTTGTATAAACTTGGCTGAATTCTTAAGTAAACTTGTTTACGATCATGTTCTGTGTCCTCCCCACTTTAGGTATGGAAAAAGAGGAGGGAGCTCCATGTTTTGTTTTTGTCTGATATTGGTGCCATTGCATGTTTGGGATGAAGTTTTGTGCAAGTATACTTTTAGAATTCTAAGGTGGTTTTAACTCTCGCCCACTGAAAGATGAAAAGAAGTCTCTTATGCCAATTGCAAGTTTTTAATTTAAAGTGCTTACTTTTTCTAATTTGTGTGGAACACTTTTCTATCAAAATAGTGTGAAAATGTGTTATTGTCTATATGATTCTGTTTTGCAGTGTTAGTCCTATGCATGTAAACTTTAATGTTCTGTTTTCTTTCCTGGTAAAGAGGACTTCTTTGAAATAAAAATTCTCCATCCCTCTCACACCTTAGCAAACCTGCTTGTTTTCAGTGAGCAAACCATCTAGAACCAACAAAGATATCAGTGGAAGATACTTTCTGCACTCTAAGTAAATGAACATAATGGATGCAGAGATCCTCTGAGCAATCATAGGTTTCTATGCCAGGGTAGCCAACATGCTGACCTCCAGATGCTATGGACTACAACTCCCATCTTCTTCCACCATTGGCCATGCTGGCTGACACTGATGGGAGCTAGAATCCAACAATATTTGGAGGGCCACCGGTGAGCCACGTTCGCTGTACAGTGGTACCTCGGGTTACATATGCTTCAGGTTACGTACGCTTCAGGTTAGAGACTCCGCCAGCCCAGAAATAGTACCTCGGGTTAAGAACTTTGTTTCAAGATGAGAACAGAAATTGTGCTCCGGCAGCGTGGCAGCAGCAGGAGGCCCCATTAGCTAAAGTGGTGCTTCAGGTTAAGAACAGTTTCAGGTTAAGAACAGACCTCCAGAACGAATTAAGTACTTAACCCGAGGTACCACTGTACAGCGAAAAGGTATTGCTCTACAGAAAGCTTTCCTTTGGGGAGGTGCTAATCTTGTAGAGTGCTGGCAAAAGCTTTGGTGAACAGTTGCTGGAAGTGGTTTTTGTGTATGCATGTTAAAGGAAGAAGCACTGTGCCCATTAAGGATAAGATACTTGCTGAGTAGACTGTAGCTTCTTTTTATCTACTTGTGAAAGGTAAACTAGACCTTTTAAAAAAAATCACTCAATTTAACTGCATGACATCAGTTCCATGTTGGATGAAAATAAACAAAATGGGCATGAGTGCAAATATTTGTTTCATGTAAGGCGTTTGGAAATATGTCAACTATTTAGGTTATTGCTAGGGGGCAGAGAATTTTCACGAAAGCAACAGTACTGCATCCAGAGTGCTGGATAGCTTAGAGCGTGGGGAACTATTCTGTTTGTGTATTTCCTGTTTAAACAGATGGTAATGCTGATTTATAGATTTTTATTTACAGCATCCCCTTTGTGGGTTGCTGCTTTGTTTTTGCCTAGTAAAGAGCTGTAAAAATTGGAATGACAAATATGTATATATTGAGAGAAAGGGAGTGTAATACGTACATCTGTAACACAAAGAATCCCCACCATGGGGTGAGCTCCCGTTGCTCTGTCCTAGCTCCTGCCAACATACCAATTTGAAAGCATACTGGTGCAAATAGATAAATAGGTACTGCTTGGCCTGAAAAGTGAGATGAGCGCCACACCCCATAGTTGCCTTTGACTGGACTTAACCATCCAGGGGTCCTTTACCAACTTTACCAACACAAAGAAAGTTGCTCAAGTTTGAGAGAAACATTAAATTGGGAATGGAGATCACAGTGAACAAAAATCAGAATTGGTTGCACATTGATGGATAAGTGGTCCTGGAAATTGCTATGTTAGGTTAACCTCATGTAAATGGTTGCCATGATGTGTGAGAATCCATAGGTTTCCAGGTAATCTACTTAGCTTTTGGTCAGTGCCCAAACTGGTTCAGAGTTTGAGGTAGAAGGTATATGGATGGAGGCACTTGTGAGCCAGCATGAGTAGCAGCAAAGCCATATCACACTGGCCAGTCCTTTTTGCCTGCCCACTAGTTGCCTAGTACCAAAGCAAGATACAAGGAGAAGGAAGTTCGTTCTGATTTCTCATGGTAAAAAGGTAGTCTCTTAAGGAAGTGAGTGCAAATTAGATTAAGTGCACTTTTGTATCATGGGTCGAGGTACATTTGGGATGTATGTAGGGGGATAAGACAGTGCATTTATTTGAGTTCAGATTATATAAAACTGCATATATTCAAGATGCTGCTTACCTTCAATGTGATACTGCCACTATCAGGCCCTCCAGTCAAGACAGCCACATGATGTTTAAATTAATAGTCATTTCAGAAGAAAACGACTTATTTTCCAAAAGAAAGGAAAAAAATCCTCGTTTTCTAAGAAAAACGTAGCCTTTGTGGTTATGGAGAATCCTTCCTCACTTCACAAACATGGGTAACTTCTGGTAATATCTATGAAACCTTGTCTCCTACATGCTTAGTAGTGATTTCCTTATTTGCTGGGGTGCTGAGCAACAGAAAAAAGATTCTATAACCCTAGGGTTCGTGGACATCCAGTAAAGCTGAACGTTGGAAGAGTCAGGACAGGTAAAAGAAAGTACTTATGTAGTGCATAGTTAAACTGGGGAACTTTGATGGCTTTAAAAGAGGACTGGGCAAATTCCTGGAGGACAGGGCTGGTGATAGTTACTAGCCATGATGGCTGCTCTCTGCTAGGAACTTGCAAGTATTGGAGGTGTGGAACATGAGGAAACATACTGCAAATGCAGTAGGGTAGAGCACTTTGATTAATCACTACCATTAATGGGTTGTGCACAGAAAACCAGTTTCAAAGTACAAAAGTAGCAATACCAATTCCTGTTATAAACAAAATTGCTAGTAGGACTTTTTAACAATGGGGGCCATAGCTCAGTGGAGCAGATTTGCCTGAAATGCTGTTTCCCTGTCTGCAATGGATTCTCTCTATTGCCTATAAGCATCAGCTACTGCTGTGATTCCCCTCTGCAAAGGGAACCAGAAGACTATCTGTATTCAGTTCAGTGCTTCCTGCAGCATGGGAAAAAGCTGCAAGAAAAGCTGCATTTGTTCTTCATTTGTTGCTGTGTTTATCTAATGTTTCTTATTGTTGTTGCTATCTATTTGTGAAAGCTTTCAGTAGACTAATTTGTTACTTCAGTAATACAGTGCTGAGCTTGTTAATGTTTTATGATATGAAAGTTGGAAGCTCTAAACTAAGTACATAAACTGGTGTGAATTAACCTCCCCCTCCATCCCTCTCCACCACTGCAGTGCCGAGAATAAATACCTTTGGGCACAAGCTGTCCTGCTGGGAATGATTTGCTACTCACTGCTGTGCTCTTGACTGAAACACATTGATGAGTAATTTTGTTCTTGTATTGGTTAATGCAAAGGATGACTGAGCTGAATGTGGTGTATGTGTAAAATACATGGGAGTCCTTGATAATATTTTATAATAAAAAGCATCACGCAACAGAAAGAAATACATATATTCTATAGTCACATGCAATATATCATTGTATTGTAGAGTTGGAAGGGGACCACGAGGGTCAACCCCCTGCAATGCAGGAATCTTTTGCCCAACGTGGGACTTGGACACACAACCCTAGATTAACAGTCTCGTGCTCTGCCAGCTGAGTTACCCAAGCAGGATAAGTTATAAGAAAAATACTGTATCCTCCTTTGCACAGTTCTTCAGATTGCTGCCTGAAGAGAAACAGAACATTGCAGCATGGAGTTAATATATCTCATAAGGAAGTTCTGCATCATAAACAACTATGAAAAAGACTCTCTTCAAAGGTTGCAGCTTCTCCATGTTTTCTAGAGTCTATTTCCGCTCATACAGCTAAAAGTTCTAGTTTCTTACTTCCGATCTTGTGTTTTTGGAGAAGTTTTAATTTTCTGCTTTTGTAATTTGAGCTACCAACATTTACCCAAACAACTACTAAATCGACAAGTTCATATAATACCTACCAGGAGGAGTTGACCATTCAGTAGTCCTATAACGTACTGAGTGGTGCTTTTGCACTGGTCAGAAGATCAATCAATCAATGTTGTGGGGTCCAGTAAGCTCTGTAAAAATATTATGTGGAGCTGAAAGTAAATTACTGTCCAAATAGAGACTGAAAAGTCATTTAAAGCAAATTTCTGTAGATTTGGATTATCAAGTTCCTAGGACACAATTCTGCCAATGTATATTGTATTGATTTTGGTGTGGGATCATGCACTTATCTCTTTAAATGAACAGGGCTTATGGTTAATATTGGCAGAATTGTGACATATGGCTTGAGTCCAGACCTCTTGTAACCCTTGGCTTTAAAGGAATTTGCCTTATTTCAGAAAGGGAGATTGTTGTACAGAAGCATCCTGCATATTTAGCTGATCATCTCCATCTTTTTACTATTCACCCAACCACATTGAATTGGATGCATCTTTTGTTGTTCATAGGGATAAG